GTTGGAACTCCCCTCACACCTCCCCCACCCACACTCCCCGACCCCACGTACTAGCCCGCAGAGTCATTGAGCTGGTACTCGGAGGCACGGTCAAAGCAGGCTTGGATGCCTGGGTCCTTCCACAGCCGTCCGATGATTTCTGACATCTCCTTAGGCATGGTCCCCTCCTCGATGGTGTCCGAGAGGTGCAGCAGCTTACGGGCATCATCCTGTGAAGGGAGAGGGGTTCAGTGGGGCCTGGGGGTTGGGGGGAAGCCCTGCTTGACATGGAATGCTCCTCACCTGGCGAGCCGTGTCCCCGTACTGGATGTTGAGGGTGGTCATGGCCCGCACAATAGCCAGCATGGACTGGAGCGTGTTGCTGTAAATGATGGCAATGAACTCCAGGCATTCCTCCAGTGAGTAACCGTCCTGATGGATGATCCTGGCCGGGGAAGATCACAGGCATGAGGCTGTGGTAGGTGCCATGGAGCTGAGCCACATGACGGATGCACCCCGTGGCAGTGGCATGGGGCAGAATCAGGCACAGTGGGATGGGGCACGCCACAGCTGCCGTGTGGGACAGACACTTTGCATGGTGGGCAGGACCAAATGTCCCCCCTTGGCACTTACTTCATCTGCTTGACAATGGTGCTCTTCCCCGACTCCCCCGCTCCTAAGGGGACAGAACACAGGTCATGGTGGTGCCTACGCTGTGGGCACTCCCAGCTGAGCCCCGTGCTGGCTCCCTGAGGACCTCGGTGCCTGACACGGCTGCGGGCACTGCGAGCTGTGCCAGGCCCATGGCTCACGGTGTGCAGGGGGATTAACAGCCTGGAGCCAGGGGCATTAAGGTTAGGCTGAGCCGCTGTGTCTAATGGGATCTGAAGCGGCTCAGGCAGGGACACTCTCAAGAACCCAAGGGAGGGGTTGGGGACATGGTGGCATAGCAATCCTGCCACCCACCACCCAATGACACAAAATCATGGCTGTGCAGGTGGATGTGTCCAGGGAGAACGGTGATACCACTCATGGCCCCACCACATACACAGCACCCCAACCTCAGGCATCACTGCGGGACTGGGAAGGACTGGGAGCACAGCACAAGGGGGCTTTGGGGACAGACATGGTGGTGGTATGGGTTGCATGGAGGTCCCTAGGAGGATGGGGCAGGGGTGGGGTGGTGATAGGTAGTGTTGGTGAAGGCTCTTAATGCTTGGTTGGGGTTGGGGGACTTGGGAGTGGGGGGATGGTAGGTGGGCTGGTTGGGTTCAGAGATATATGGAAACCAGGGGACCTTAGGGTGGATCTTAGGATCTCATCTTCTTGTTGAGATGGTCTGCTATGATGTGCTGTACCAGGGGTGCCTGGTAGGGGGTGTTGAGCCAGTTGGGATGAGCTGGGTTAGGGGATCCTGGGAATGGGGGGCCTGTTGGGGTGGCTGGTTGGGTTTAGGGGTACTGAGGGAGAGAGAAAAACATTGGGTGGGCTTTTGGGGTTGACTGGTTGGCTTTAGGGGTGCTGTGGGGGTCAGAGGACTGCTAGAGTGGGCTGTCTGGGTTTAGGGATGCTTAGGAGCAGGGGCCTGGGGACTGTTGAACTGATTTGGTTTAGAGTGGGGTCAGGGAAACTTTGGGTGTTTTATTGGGGAGGGGTTGATTTGTTTTAGGGATGCTTGGGAGTGGGAGGCTGTTGGAGGCACTCCTGGGCTGTGCTGCTTTGGTTTAAAGGTGCTGGAGGCATCAGGGAAACACTGGGTGGGCTCTTGACATGGGGAGGTTTGGTTTAGGGCTGCTGGGAGCAGGGGCAATGTTGGGATACGCTGCTTGGTTTTAAGGGTGAGTCAGGAGAATGTTGAATGAACTGTGAGGGTGGGCTGCTTGGGTTTTGGGGTCCATCTCGGGGCCAGGGGAATGTTGGATTGGCTGGTCGGGTCTGGGGGCAGCTGTGGGGTGTACTGGTTGGGTTGAGGGGCACTGGTAGGTTTCAGGGGTGCATTGGGTGGGCTGTTGGGGTGAGATGCACAGAGGATGGGTTCCCCAGGGTGTTGTCTCCCCCTTACCCAGCAGCAGCAGCTTGACGGTCCTGGCATCCTTCTCAGCGTCTTCCTTGAGCTTCTTCTCCAGCTCTCGGGAATGCTTCTCCTCGGCACTGGCGCCGGCTCCCATCCTCAGCCCCGCAGCCCTGCGCTTCACCACCCGCTCCTTGGAGGTCAGCACCAGGATGGGCAGCGAGCTCCAGCTTCCCTTCGCCTCCAGCGCTTGCTCCCGGTGCCCGCTGCCACCGCTGCCACCACCGTCGCGCCGGTGTGCGACAAGGACAGGGCCAAGGTCCCGGGGGGCCGCCTGCCGAGGGGCTGCGCTCAGCACCCGGGGCTTAAGCCGGGCCCCCCCGATAAACCCCCTTCAATCTGCAGCGGGCTGAGCTCAGCAATCCCGTGGTTCCCGGTGTCAGCGCTTCTGCCGGAGGGGGGCCCCAGCCCGAGCAGCCCCCAGCTTTGCCTCCACCCTGGGGCTGGGGCACTCATCTCCAGCTCTGGCTCTGCTGTGGACCCCAGGGGTTTGGAACTGGGGTGTGGGATGGTGTGTCTGCTGGGATCTGGTCACGGTGGGAACAAATGTTCCCATTGTCCCCATCTCACCTGGTCATATGCCTTGCTCTGGAGCAGTGCCCACTGTCCCATCCCAGTAGGCCATGCCAGCGTCCCCACGGGTGCTACCAACAGTGATAGAATGTCAGCCTCAGTCCCCAGGTCCTGTGTCCCCAGGGACCTTTCCAGAACCCTCCTCTAATGTCCCTATTCCCCTGATGTGCCCTTCTTAGTGTGCCCAGCCACTCACCAGTGCACTCCCAGTGCCACCAGGCCAGCCCAGCATCACCTCCACAGCATTCCCAGGCCCTCCAGCAACACCTGCACAATGTCCTCAGGGATACCCGCACACCCTCCACAGGGTTTCCTGTAGGAAACTTCCCGTAGTCCAGTTTCCGACTGGTGACTCTCCCCAGTGACTACAAAAGAAATCCCAGTGTTCCCAAACAATTCCAGTTCCTGTGTGGGGACTGTCCCCGCCAGTCCGAAAAAAAACCCTTCCCAACGCCCAGGGGGGCTGCAGTATTACTGTGCTACCACCCCATCCTCAGTGAGCCCCCACAATGTCTCTGGGTCCCTCTGGGTCCCTCTGGGTCCCAGTGCCACCCTCTCACATCCCCAGTGCCCCCTACTGCCACTGAGGCCACCGCAGCAAAACCGAGTATCCCAAGGAACTCCCAGTACCTCCCCAGTGTCCCCCACCTCCGGTGACTCCAGGTCCTGCCAGGACTGCCCCAGTGACCCCAGCAGAGCCCAGTGCGCCCGTGTCCCCCGCTTGTCCCCAGCGCCGCCTCTCCCCGCACCGCGGCTCTCCCGCAGCGCCTCGCTCGGCCGCCAGAGGGCGCGAGCGCCCAGCGCAGCTCCCAGTACAGACCAGTGCTCCCAGCATAGCCCAGCGCAGCTCCCAGTACAGACCAGTGCTCCCAGCATAGCCCAGCGCAGCTCCCAGTACAGACCAGTGCTCCCAGCATAGCCCAGCGCAGCTCCCAGTACAGACCAGTGCTCCCAGTATAGCCCAGCGCAGCTCCCAGTACAGACCAGTGCTCCCAGCATAGCCCAGCGCAGCTCCCAGTACAGACCAGTGCTCCCAGCATAGCCCAGCGCAGCTCCCAGTACAGACCAGTGCTCCCAGCATAGCCCAGCGCAGCTCCCAGTACAGCCCTGCACACCCCCAGCACAGCCCAGCTCCCCCAGTACAGCATTGCACCACCCCCCGTACAGCTCTGCACCCCATCAGCACACCCAGCAGTGACCCCAGCACAGTCCCAGCACCCCCAGTACTCACACCAGAGCCTCTCAAGACTGCCCAGAAGAGCCCAGTCCCACCTCCATTATCCCATACTGAACAGAGTGCCCTGCTACAGCCCAGTATTGCCCACTACAACCTCCAGCCGCCCACACAGAACCATTACCACTTCCCTACCACTGCTCCCAGTACCACCAAGTACCAGCTCCTACTGCCAGACCCTCGTGCCTCAGTACTTCTCCAGTGTTCCCAGTACTACCTCTGATACAGCCCAGGCCTTTCCTGACCCTGGAACAGCCTCCTGGAACTACTCAGAGGAGCTTGGTACCACCCCTGTATCAATCCAAGTGCCCCAGTATCATCCACTACCACCCTCAGTGCCCTCTGTAAAGTTTCTCCCCTCCTCCATGCCCCAGTACCACCAAGTACCAGCTCCCAGTACCATATCCTACTGCTCCAGTACTTTCCTCAGTGCCCCCAGTAATGAGTCTGAGTGCTCCCAGTGCCTTCAGCAAAACCCAGGGCTGCTGCCAGCCACCAGCCCAGCCCAGTGTACCCCAACACCCAGCAGTACCACCCACTACTGCCACCTCCCCACAGCCCCTGTGCTGCCCACCAGTGACCCAGTGCCCCCCCAGGGGCAGCCCTCTGGGCCCTGGCAGGGCTCAGGGGATTACTTGGTGGTGGCCAGGTCTGTCCCCTACAGAGCACACGCAGGCGCCCACGTCTGTCCCAAAGGCAGTGTTTATTTGGGAGTGCCCCTAGCTGCAGCAGGGGGCACTCACTCAGCCCTGGTCGCCCTTGTTTCCCATGTACAACTATTTACAACCCTCCACACCCACCAGGGTGCCCCAAATGCCTCTGGGTGCCACTGTCACCAAGCACCAGCAGCTGCTCCAGGTTTCACACCAGCATGGCCCCTTCTCCATCCAAAGACCCCGGGGCCAAGCCCCTACTATTGCCTGAACACCTTGGTCCTACCTTGAGGTCCCGTCTCACCCCTGCCAAGGGGAGGGGACAGAGCCGTGTACCCTCGTCCCTCCTCAGCATGCCTGGTGGCCTACAGCTTCCTCACAGAAAGCACTTGCTCCTCCATAACCCAGTGGGGAAACTGAGGCATGAAGCTATGATGGCCATGCCTTGCAGAGGGCAGACCTTGCCTGGCACTGCCTCCCCCCTGACTCACCCCCTGCCCTCCCCAGGGCAGCATCCCCTCCCACACCATGACATCCATCCCCCAGAGCAGGGCCATGCCCCAGCTGTGCTGACCCGTGCTCCCTGCACAACAGGATCTGGGGGTCCTTGGCAGAGGGGAAGACAGCAATGGCGGCTGCAGCCACCTCAGGGGTCCCTGCTCCTCCCTAGGAATGCTTGCTCCTCCCTGGGGCTGGGAGGTGGGGGTAGCACCACCCCAGTGACTATGTACAGCCTACAAATAAATACCGCCTCCCGTGGGAGGGGGGAGCGCTTGTGTCTGCGTGTGTGTGTGTGCGTGGATGTGTATATATATATATATATATATTTATTTATAGATATTTTTAATATTAAAAGGGGGGAAAAATAGACCACTGTGCTAGCAAAGTCCCTGATGATGGTTTCATGTATGCCCATAGGTCTCTGGCTGGTGATTCCGGCGGTTCCGAGGCTTCTTCTGGTCCTGCTGCTCCTTGGCTTTGAGGCCAGCCAGCGGCTGCGGGGGGCTGGCGGCCGTGTGCCGCCAGTAGCCCTGGCAGTACTGGTCCAGGAGTCCCATTTCGGGCTGGCTGAGGAGCTGCAGCAGGTCCTGGTAGCGGGGAGTGGGAGCACCCGGCAGGCCAGGGGGGGTCTCCGCCTGGACCAGCACGGCATGGACGGCGCGGCTGCTGAGGACGCGGAGCTGCACCTTGGTCACCGTGTGCTTGAAGTTGTTCTCGGTGGCGGTGCAGGAGTAGAGGCCGCTGTCGCTGAGCTGGAGGGCGCGCAGCAGCAAGCCCTGCTCCGTGCGCAGCACCCGGCCCTCCACCCGCAGCTGGGGGCGAGAGGGGGAGCGGCTCAGGCGGCTGGCACCCGGCACCCCCGGCACCCCCCGAGCAGCGCCCTGCCCTACCTCTTTCCGCCGG